TGTTATGATTTTCACTTTCCACTCCTTTAGCCACCACAATGATCCTGGGACTGAGTTGCACAAATGCACATATATGTATTGTGTACAAGGACTCTGTAATCTGAGCATTGTGACTTGCTTGACAATACATACAGCTGCAACAATATTTCAACAAATACATACAGTGCTGCAGGTGTTATATATTGTAGTTGACCAAACTGTGAATTAACATCCATCTGGTTGCCAACTTACTAGCTGTTTCCATGTGACTTATCCAGAGATTACAGGCTAACGCTGGTGTGTGCAAAAATGTTCTACCTGAATATTCGACTTCGATCAGTATTTCAAGCTTGCTGTGAGCATCCGCTAATTTTTGTCAACAACCTTCCATCCATTCTTCTGTCATTTTTTCTGCTGCAGATTCATTAATGTTGACCCACAGCATGAATGACTCATCCAGAAAAGCAACAAACAATATGTTAAGTTGGAGAAGGTAGCATCTTTGTAATTATACAGAAGCTATTTTTATACTCAGGTCATGCAGTGTCAAAGGCAACCTTGCGTAATCCAGAAATTCTTTCCAAAACAAAAGCTGATGCCAGTAGGATCCCTACTGCTATTGTCAGCCGGTGGAGAGAGCCGCTCACTCAAAGTCTATCACACACCGGATACCCAGAGAAATACAGTGTTCATGCCAGTTCATTTGCCACTGCATAAGTGAGCTGCTGGCAGGGCTAATGCAACATGTACTGTGGCTTTCTTTTGGCTCCCAGCACAATATTAATTTGCAATGTCCCCGCAATTTGCAGCTCACTAATTGTTTGGCTCATACCTGCTGTGATATGAGATGGGCATGATATTTTCTATTATCTTCAATGGGTAAGTCAGCTGGTCCAACTTAGTTATTGGATGACTCAGGTAGCAAAAGAAAAAGTGTTTTCAACCTCAGTGGTGCATCTAATTCTCCTTTATTTTTTTCAGTTTTTCTGGCTGGAAGACTTTGGTAATGAAGTCACTCGCATGAGGATCATGTAATGAGGCTCTCGGTAACGCCACAAACAGAACAGATCTCAGTGGAATATTAATATGTTTCCAGAGCGGTTCAATCAGCATGTAATGAACTATCAAAATAGATCTTTCCTGTTACACCTGTGTTCATAACTTTCATGACACCAGTGCCAACACATTACGTGCTCCCTCTGTCTTTTCTAGTGCTATGACAGACACTAAATTAATTTGAAGAGTATTGTAAGGTTTTGATTCCCATCAAGACATGCGTGATGAGTAGACACCCGGTACTTCTACTGTTCTACTGACTACGATCAAAGTCCTGAGAACTTTTCAGAAGGAGTAATAATTGAAGAAGATACTGGATGTAGTAACAACAATAAAGAAACAATTCATGGAACTTAGTGCATTAGATTCAGAATTTAACAAATAATTAAATGTAGGGCAACAAAACAATATATTACGCTCCTTTTAGCAGAAGATAAATTTCCAACAGGCGCTTAAAATGTTTTATTTTTACTTATTGTGTTACCAGAATTGTTATTGAAATAAATGTAGAAATGTAAAAAGTCGAGACCCTGATCTTTATTGGACTGGTTACCTCAGAACCAATGGAAGTGCATATGTGGTCAGTAAAACCTTGGGTGTTGTTCCACTGCAGCTTATTAAATCAAAGTAGAGAGTCCTCGTTCTAACTGTATCTGAGCACTTGACAACACGCCAGGTCACTCCAGGTGGGTGATGACATTTTTTTTTTTTGTTCCAGTGACCTTAAGCTGGGTCTAATGAGGACACAAAGGAACATGACAAGATGTCTCAGAGCACAGGACAGATACAGTATGGACTGTATGGCCTTTACTGCAAGTATCTGCCTCATTCTGCAGAGCTGGAGCTGCATGCTTTGTCCTAATTAAAGTAGTGCAGTGAAGAGACTTTTCAACATTAAGTCAACCGTCCACCTTAAATATACCCACACATTTGGGCAGGAACATGTTTATTTGACTTATATGTTCAGATATGAAACTTCATGTCTGAATAAAAGGAATTATTTCTACACTGAACAGCATTGAGATGGGGAGACGGCAATATGAGAGTGGTAGTAGGAGAAGATAAGGAGATTGCAGAGGAAACTTCAAAATCCAGTCAAAAGAACATTCACACAAATATATATTATACATAAACCTACTAATTCCACAAACGTCTGTCTGTATGTAGACAGCATATGTCAAGAACCGTTCGATTGCTGCAATGCTTTATGCTGTATATCCAGTGGAATTACAGAAATTTAGTTTTGAAAGGTTTTGAACTTGAGTCGGAAGATTGTGTCGATTGTGTCACAGACCTCTGAAATAGTGACATGCAATATATGAAAAAAATTACTTCAGTAAATCATTCAAACTTGTGTATGGGACACACGTGAACAGAAAGAAGCAAATTGAGTTTCATGTTATGAAATGTTCAGCATAGGTGACTTGTGGAGTTTCAGAAGGAAATTTGCATCCAGCATCATCCCAAGTAAACGCTCTACTGTAAACATTGACTTGGCGTTACTTAAAAAACAAACAACAAACTGACACGTGAAATAATTGACGAGATTTTCTATGCTACAAATTTATAAATTTATAAATTAACTAGTCTAAACCAGGTAAATCCAAGTTCAATACATATTTACATTTACTAATTATCCAAGCAATGTTTATTTAGATTATCTATCTATTAGATTATTAATTATCTGGGTCAAATTAGTTGAAATTGACCATTTATCTGTGAGAAAGTATTTTATATTTAATAACTTTATGGGTGAATTTGATTTAGATTTGTCAACTATCAGCAAGAAGTACATTATCTGCATCTTTAACTTTACTGATAAAAGATGAGTTAACTTTACTAAGTGATAGATAGCTGATTATATTCAAACACATTTGAGTAAAAATAAAATAATAAATCCTTTAAATGTGTTGAATTCAGCTCAGTGTGAGTCTAAACTACACATACTCTTTTTCATCATGTAAAAGTGACTATTATTTATTCAGTAAATATGACTTAACCTCAGTCACACAGGCTTATGAAGGAACAACCTACCAACAGCTATAGGACAGAAATACCTCTGGCTCTACAGTGTGCAATTCTGTATTCCAACACAGAAGCTTCACAATTCCCTGGAGAAAAACTGTTCTGCACTCCAGTTTGAATGAATTCATCATGTAGGGTCCATTTTCAGTGTGCAGCAGTAGCTTTGATTTTACTGCAAGTATATACAGTACCTCTAACTCAGCAGCCTTAATATAGCAGCTCCTCTGAGGCTTTTGCAGTGACAGACCCATTTTCTTCACAGCGATTCCTCCTGTAGTGGCTCGCAGCAGCTGCAAGCAGTGGGGAGGACGGAAGGGGGGTGGGATCAATACTCGTACTGCATAGTTTAATGTACCCTTTAACGTGAAACTATATATTACTAAACTGGAAATTCAGGTGCGTTATGTTAGATTTACCTTTCAACCTTCATTTGCAACTCACCATTTCCAAATGTGATTCTCGCAGCACTTTACACTCGTTTATTTGATTTGTTGCACTTTTCCTCCTCTGGTCATTAAATCTTGTATAATGTTCATGCATAATGTTTTTTCTTCTTTTTCAAACCGCTGAGTTTCAAACAATTACAGGTCATGAGCACCTGGTGGCTCTCTTGATAATAGACTTCATTCTAATTAGTGAGCTATTCAAACTGGTGCAGAGACTGGGTATAAGGTCAAATGCATTTTAGGAAGTAACAGCATTATGAGAGTTGCAGGACGAGTGCAGACACTTATTATTTTTATCATACTACATATTTATATATTTATCTGTTTATTTATCGTCACCAAAGATGCCTCTTAAAGCCCAACTGTTGCTGAGGAGATTTTTTGGCTTTGTGTGTGGCCGCACTAAGCCAAGATCACACCACACAACTTCCAACTAACAAACTGCAGTCTGTGTTACTCTGTCCAACACATGCATGGTTATTGCTTGATTTCAATGCGATTTCCCTGATTACAAGCATGTGCAAAAAACATGTGTACCCTCACCACCTTCACCTCATGCTCTGATTGGCTGGAGTTGTTGCCAATTCCAACTTCCAGCAGTTTGGAAATCAGACTTCTTGCATAGTAAAGAACGTAACATTAAATGATCACATGGAGACCAACTAAAAATGACCCAAAATGTCAACAGTTAAACAGCAGTTTCTAACAAAACCCTCAATACAGCACCAAACAACAAAGAAGAAGCTCAAGAATGTGATATTTCCATCAGGAGCTGGTAGAGACCAAACACAGAGCTAAAGGAGAGTAGATAATGGACTAATGTTTGTGGCCAAAAAGCAACTTCAAATGCATGAGTATGTTCTACAACAGCCAGGCGGGAGAATATGCATAGTTAGCATAGTTTGCTAATAGGTTTCCTTTTACACAAACCTGACATAGGGAACTGTTTAAATGTTAAGGCCACTAACATGGCTGTGGACCAGGTATACATGTTTACAGATGATTTAACAGATGTTGGATAAAGGGATTCAGAAGCTAGTTCCCATGCACCACCTTCTTTTAAAGACTAAATCATTCAAGTTGTGCTGATCACTATGATGCTGTTACAAACTGTCATCATAGAAACGTCCATCAGTATCTTTACTGACCTTATAGACTCCATAACTAAAATGTAACCTGGCATACTCATTAACCTTACATTAACTGTGACATATTTTTTTATGCATCACTTGAGATCTAACAGATTATGTTTTTCAACTTTAAATCTCTGTCGACAAAATTGAATTGCTGCTGGTGTGCAGATATTGCTGAAAACACATGCACTGCATCCTGGGAGGTTGTGGTCAGCACAATGGTGAGTTAGGCAGATCAGTGAGCGATGCCAGGTGAAGTCTGTGTGCAACATATGGCCCAGTGAACATGTAAAATGATAAATGGTGCCTCTTCATCTAAGGTGATGAATGACAGATGGCACACAGAGATGTGCTGCTGAAACACATAATGCTTCTACTCACTGTCATTTGAAATGAAAATTGATTCTATTGGGTAGCAGGTGAATTTGCTCCCTTTTTGTCTGTCTCTGAGGAGGAGGACACAGAACAGCATTATGATGCTGACACTGCACATTTATCCACTTCCATGTCTTCTGGTTCTCTTATTTTAGGAATACCAAATCGACATTATCTTTGCCCAGACGTGGACCGACAGCCGTCTCAGATACAACAGCACAATGAAGATACTGACTCTGAACAGCAATATGGTCGGACTTATTTGGCTGCCGGACACCATCTTCAGGAACTCCAAGAATGCGGATTCCCACTGGATTACGATGCCTAACCAGCTGCTCAGAATATGGAATGATGGGAAAATACTTTACACCTTAAGGTAAACACACATATTAAGAGATAAGTTGAGCGAGAGCTTTTACCATTTAAAGA